CTAGAATCCTTCAAAGAAGCCGAAGGAAAGAAACAAACATTCTGGCCTCTGGAGGCGCTCGTGGGGGTCCTCTTGGGGCCCTCTGGGGCCTTGGGTTTTTTTGGGGCCCTATTGGAGCCATCTTGGACCGTCTTGGGGCCATCTTGAGCCGCCTTGACGCTCTCTTGAACCCCAAGGGGCCCCAGGGGCCCAAATCATCGATTTTCCATAGGTTGTTGTACGTGGTTGGGCTCCAGAGGGGGGGGGAGGGGGGGGCACCCTGGTCGGCGGACGTGGCGTGGGCCCTGGAGGGGGGGCGGGGGGGAGACATACGTACTTATGAAACGTAATACAATAGGTATCACGCAATCGTTGGATGCCCTGAGATCCGACGCTCCCAAAAAATTGGGGCGGCGGGATTTTGGCATATTTCGGCATCTGGGGGCCCTCGCCGGGCCTCGGGAGCGTCAACAAAACGCTTCAGGACGAGACACCGGTCCCGGGGAAGTGGTCTGGACCTCCGGGGCCCACGCATCGAAAAAATCGGAGCAGCCGGATGTCTGGGTACATTGGGAACGTTGCATCACAGCATCCGCGGACCTGCCTCCGGCAACACGTCGCTTCCGGGCGTGGACTCCACAGGCTTGCGCTGCGCCCGCCGACCACCGCCTGGATGCTTCGGGGGAGCGCGCCCTCTGGGCGCCCAAGCGCTGCTCGCGGGGGGCCGTGCCTTCAACGAGGCGTGACCGGGAGCGGGGGGGCTCTCGTGGAGGGCTCTTCGGGAGCCGCCTTTGGGCTTCTACTGCGCCTCAGGGGGGGGGCATCTTGGGCTGGGTGGGGCCCGTGCTGGGCCGCCATGGGGCAACTGTGGGCGGTTTGGAGCCCGTCTCGGGGTCCTCTGGGGCTGTCTTGGGTGTCTCTTGGGCCGCCCCGCGGCCGCTGGGAGCCGTCCTGGGGCCCTCGTGGAGACCGTTTGGCCCGTCTCGGATTGCTGGGCAGGGCATCTTGACGAGTTTGCCCAAAAATGCGGGAAGGCACAAATTCTTGCTTCTTCGGACCCCCGCGAGGGGTCCTCCTCGGGGCGCCATCTTGGAGCCCCATGCCGAGCCTCAGAGGGGGCCCTCCTGGGCCGTCCGCGGCGCCCTGCGGGCCATCTTGGGCTGGGTGGGGCCCGTGTTGGGCCGTCATGGGGTCCACCCTGGACGGTCTTGAACCCGTCTCGGACACGGGCCCGATTCGGCTTCAGGCCCGATTCCGGCTTCGGGCCCGTTTCGGCCCGTTTCGGGTTCGGCGCGCTCTGTCTCGGCTCGTTTCGGCTCAGCCCGTGTCGACTTCGGCATGTTTCGGCTTCGGCCCATGTCGGCTCCGCCCGTTTCGGCTTCAGCTGGCTTCGGCTTCGACCCGTTTCAGCTTCTCGGCCAGGGTGCGAGCGCGAACCTGGACGCCGAACCTAGTCGAAGCCGAAACGGGTTGAAGCCGAAACGGGCAGCAGCCGAAATATGCTCAAGCGAAACGGGCCGAAGCCGAAACGTGCCGGGACGAAACGGGCCGAAGCCGAAACAGGCCAGGACGAAACGAGCTGGGACGAAACGGGTCGAAGCCGAAATGAGGAGGAGGAGGAGGAGGAGAAGGAGGAGGAGGTGAGGAGAGAGAGGAGGAGGAGGAGAGGGGAGGCGGAGGCGGAGGCGGAGGCGGGGCGAGGCGGAGGGTAGGCGGAGGCGGAGGCGGAGGCGGAGGCGGAGCGGAGGCGGAGGCGGAGGCGGAGGAGGAGGAGGAGGAGGCGAGGAGGAGGGGAGGAGGAGGAAGGAGAGGGGAGGAGGAGGAGGGTGAAAGGAGGGGGAGGAGGGAGGAGGGGGAGGGAGGGAGGAGGGGAGGGAGGGAGGAGGGATGGAGGGAGGGAGGGAGGGAGGGAGGGAGGAGGGAGGGAGGGAGGGAGGAGGAGGAGGCGGAGGGGAGGAGGAGGGAGGCAGGAGGGGGAGAGGGAAGGGGGGGGAGGGGCAGGGGGAGGAGGAGGGGAGGAGGGAGGAGCGATGCGGAGGGGGGAGGGGGAGGGGAGGGGGAGGTCGGAGGCGGAGGCGGAGCGAGGGGGAGGGGGAGGGGAAGGAGGAGGGGGAGGGAGGAAGGAGGAGGAGGAGGAGGAGGAGGAGGGAGGAGGAGGAGGAGGAGGAGGAGGAGGAGGCTTAGGAGGCGGCGGAGCGGAAGGCGGAGGCGGAGGGGGAGGGGGAGGGGGAGGGGAGGGGGAGGGGAGAGAGGAGAGGGAGGAGGAGGAGGAGGGGAGGGAGGAGGAGGAGGAGGGGGAGGAGAGGCGGAGGCGGAGGCGAGGGGGAGAGGAGGAGGAGGAGGAGGAGGAGGAGGAGGATGTGGAAGGAGGTAGGAGGAGGAGGAGGAGGAGGAGGGGAGGAGTAGGATGAGGAGGGGAGGAGGAGGAGAGAGGAGGGAGGCGGAGGCGGAGGCGAGGCGGAGGCGGAGGCGGAGGCGAGGGGGAGTGAGGGGGAGGGGAGGGGGAGGGGGAGGAGGAGGGGGAGGAGGAGGAGTAGGAGGAGGAGGAGGAGGGGGAGGAGGAAGATAGGGAGGATGTGCGGAGAGGAGGTACAGCATGCAGGAGGGAGGCAGTAGGCTGAGGAGGAGGAGGAGGAGTTTGTGTTTGAACTGGGGCTCCCCCTCATTTTTTTACTTGAGTTAGAAGTTCCGCTGGACGTGAGGAAGCTTCGCTCCATTTTCCATCCCTCACTTTAACTTGAGTTTGAAGCTTCGCTGGACGCGAGGAAGCTTCGCTCCGTATTTTGTTTCAGCAGGTTTCAGCCTTCTCATCGTCCCGCTCTTCCTTCTGCTCCTCCTTCTCCTCCTCCTCCTGCTCCTCCTCATCATCATCCTCCTCCTCCTCTTCCACTTCGTCTTCCATCCCCTCCTCATCTTTCTCCTCCTCCTCCTCCTCCTTTCTCCTCCTCCTCCTCCTCTTCCTCTTCCTCCTCTTCTTCTCTCTGCTCCCCCTCGCCCTCCCCCGCCCTTCCCCCTCTGCGGGGACGGGCAGGGGCGGGGGAGAGAGGACAAGTAAGAGAAAGCGGAGAGAGGGTGGACGAGGAGCGGGAAGGAATGAGACCCTGGGGTGGAAGGCGGCAGGCGTGAAAGTTAATCCCGGCCAACCTCTACTTAACAAACACGCCGGCCACCCCCTCTGGATTGTGAACGCCTTAACGGCGGGTGCCGTCGACCCTGAAGGAGGACGACGTCGACAACGGCGGCGGCGGTGGCGACGACGACGCTGACGTGGGCCAGAGCTCTCAGGGATGGTGCTTGGGGTCTCTTTAGAAGGCTCTCGGGGACCCCTGGGGAAGAATGTTGGGGCCCCTTGGGAGCCTCTTGGGGGTTTCTCGCCAACCCCGTGGCATCTATGCGGCACCTCCCGTCACATGAGATGGGTGTAGTGCGGCGCGTGTAGCCCCGCGCCTGCACACACGGTGTTCAAGTCGTTGCGCTCTCTCTCTCTCTCTCTCCTGCTCTCTCTCTCTCGCTCTCGGGCTCTTTCCCTCTTTCTCTCTCTCTCTCTCTCTCTCTCTCCTTTTCACTCTCTCTTCAAAACCGATCACGACCACGGCCACGACGACGACTACGACCATCACGACGACGACGAAAACCAGGAAGAAAACCACGACGACGGCGACGACGACGACGACGACGACGACGACGACGACGACGACGACGACGACGACGACGACCACGACCACGACCACGACCACGACCACGACAACGACGACGACGACGACGCCTCTTTCTCCCCTCCCTCTCTCCCCAACCCTCCCGCTCTCTGCCTCTCCCTCCCTCGGCCCCGAGGTCCGGCAGAACGCCCCCGACAGGGACCCGCCGGCCGGGGTGCCGCGCGCTTGTGAGTGGCAGCCTTCCCCGCGCAGCCCCCCCCCCCGCTCTGCGTCGGCCCCATGCCGTCCAGAGGAGGGCGAGTCGCGGCGGCGTGCCCGGAGGGGAAGCTGGAGGGAGGCGGCGCGCGCGTGGGGGGGGAGTTCGAGGTCTTCGGGCGCTTCCGTACGCTCCCGGGGGGCCGCCCGGCCTCGGGGTGCCTTGCGGCGGCGGCGCCTCGCCCAGGGCCCTCTGCGGGTGCCCGGAGCCTCCCGCACGGCCGCCGGCTCCAAGCCAGGAAGCGCCCGAGAGGGGGCAGGCCTTCTCAGAAGGCGGCGGGGCACCTCGGAAGCCCTCGCGCCTGCGGAGAGGTCTTCTGCGTCCTCGGGGAAGGCCTGGAAAACTGCTCGGCCTTCCGGGAAGTCCCGCCCCGTGTCGCTTCTCCCCGGGCGCGCCGCCGAGAGTTGTGGCAGCGGTAGTGGGACGCGTCGCCACGGCTAAACGCAGCTCGGAGAACCGGAGCGCTTGGACCCTGGGAGGGGTCCGGGGGCCGGCTTTGAACGAGGAGGAGCAGGAGGAGGAGGAAGAGGAGGACGAAGAGGAGGAGGAGGAGGAGGAGGTTTACGCTCAAGACCGCCCATCTTGAAAAGGCGGAGGAGGAGGAGGAGGAGGAGGAGGAGGAGGAGGAAGAGGAGGGACCGGTTCTGAGCTGCCGTTGTCCCAGCTCGCCCTGATCCGAGTCGTTCCCTTCCGCCACCCTGCTGTTCTGGCGCCCCTCGCACGCCCATCGCCCGCGCACGCCTATGGGGGGGAGGCGGCTGTGGCGTCCGAGCCTCCTTTCCTCCGCCTGCAAGCTGAGGGCGGCGAGGTTCGGCGTTCCACTTCGGCGGGGCGAGAGGGAGAGAGGGAGAGAGGGAGAGAGGGAGAGAGAGAGGAGGGAGAGAGGGAGAGGGAGAGAGGGAGAGAGGGAGAGAGAGAGGGAGAGAGGGAGAGAGGGAGAGAGGGAGAGAGGGAGGGGGAGAGGGAGAGGGGAGCCCTCCTGCTTCTCGTGCTCCTCCGCGCTCGTACCCTGCTCGTCCTGCTCGTCCTGCTCGTCCTGCTGCTGCTGCTGCTGTGCCTCTCTCCGTCTCCCTTCTTCGTCCTCCCTCCTGATCCTGCTTCTCCTGCTGCTCCCCCTGCTGCTGCTCCCCCTGCTGACCTCCTCCTCGATATCCCTTCTCCCCCTCCTCCTCGTCCTCTTCGTGCTCTTTCTTCGCCCCCTCTCCCTGGCCTGCGGCCCCTCGACGGCGTCTGCGTCTGAGTTCGCCTTGACATGAACGTGGCTCCTCCATCCTCCCTGTCCCAGCCCTGGGACGGAACGCCGTGCGTGCTTGGGTGTGTTCCCAGGAGCGCGACACTCGTCGACCGGGAGGGACTGCCGCCGGAAAGGGCCGCAGGCAGGCCACGGCACCAAGCAGCCCGGGCAGGCACACGGGGAAGGCACCAGGAGCAGACCACCGAGCACCGCGGAGCGAACTGCAGGACGCCCGCCCCTCCTGGCCCGTGGCCATCCTGGGAGGCACGAGCCGCCGAACCCCCGCGGCCCCTCGCCTGCTGTCGCGCCGGCGCCAGCGGCACGCCCCCTGCGCCTCGCGCCTGCCTCTGGTGCCCGGGTGCTCCGCGATGGCGACGCCACGGGCTCCTCTGCGCCGCGACGGCCTCCTCGGTCGCTCCTGGACTGGGCCCACGTGCTGGCCACGCGGCCCCGCCGCGGGGCTCGTGAGTTTCGTGATGCTCGTCGGCTCCCGCTCCCCCCTTCCTGGCCGCTGTCCTCCTCCAGCTCCCTCTCTCTCTCTCTCTCTCTCTCTCTCTCCCTCCTCACTATTCCTCGCTCGCTCCTCCTCCTCCTCCTCCTCCTCCTCCTCCTCCCTCCTCTTTCATTATTTCCTCCTTCCTCCTATTTTCCTTCTCGTGTTTGTCTTCCTCGCTCTTCCTCCTCCTCCTCCTCCTCCTCCTCCTCATCATCATCATCATCAGCATCATCATCTTCATCATAATTTTCCTCCCCTCCTCCTCCTCGCCCCTCCTCCTCCTTCTCCGCCTGCCTCCTCCTCCTCCGCCTTCGCCCTTCCTCCTTGTTGGTCCTCCTCCTCCTCCTGATGATTGTGTGTTTGCTATGTAGTGTGCGGCGCTGCTCTGCTGACTGGACAGCTTACCTTACTCGCAACGCATGTCTCCGACTTGTGTTTACCCAGTAGGTATGGAAACCACTGTAGGATCGACGAAGACGGCTAGGCTATATTGCTTACGTTTGCAGGTGAGGGTGTGCATGTAGAACGACGTACGTTTTGCCTTAATTGTGGAGGGGCCGTGGAGGTTCAAGCGACACCTTCATTTCCGACTGGGCTCCAATTGCCAGCAGTGCGAAGTTCTAAGCACCTCGGGGGCACGATAGCTGATACACAAGGGCTAGGGTTGGAACTGGGGTACAGGGTAGGATCTACTGCCTCATCTGCACGCTCTTTTCACCAGGTCGCATTTAAGAGCACGGACCTTCCAGTGTCCAGGAAGCTACATCTTGCGGATGAGCTCATCATGTCAGGGCAGATGTACAATTCCAAGACCTGGCCAATGCCAAGGAAAGCTCAGTTGGAATGGTTCAGGACATCAATATACCGACTGCATCGGGCAGCTCTGGGTATGAAGTTACATCATGAGACATCTGAATCAGACGACATGGTCCTCTTTTTGGCCAAGCGACCATCGGTTGCTGGGGAGTGTACAGATATGGTCCACTCGTACTGTTTGCTCTTGTACGTGACACGGTACGCACGAAAAGTTATTGGTTGGACACAGTATTCGATTACCTCAAGTGGCTAGGCAGGCATGTGTCTGCGCTGCGTGGATACCCCACCCCATGGCAAGAGTTTGGACCATAAGAGCCCGAAATCACGAAACGCGGGAGCCATTGAAAGAGTTTAATGATTAAAATAATTGCTGCACATGTGAAACGGCATGCGCGAAACATGGACGTAACAGGATCATGCACGAGTTGCAGGGGTATTAAAAAAGACATGCCGCAACGTACGCCCATGAACCAGCCAGTGTTTCAATGCACCTTCTGCGAGCATCGGGCGCACAGCCAAGCTGCCTTGACAGCAAGTGTATCGCGGGTACACACCAAGCACGGGAAAAAAGGCACTGATGGATTCGGAAGGCTCCCTCGGTCGAGTCGTTCGGCACAGCCCTCCGGAGCTTCGCGCCCTCCTCGCTCGACGCACTGACCGTCCTCCCCTACCCTGGGTCTCACAACTTGTGAAGGACTTGCAGCATGGCCGCCTCGTGTTCTGCACCCCCAGATCCTGACAAGGACTTCGGGCCCTGGCTGCAATCGATCGTCTGCACGCCAGCCCAGCCCGGTGGTCGCAGGCTTACAGGTGCGTCCATTTTGCGGAGTCTGCATGCGACCTGGGAGCAGGCGCCGTTCCCTCGCGCGACGCTCCTATTGTAGCCAACCGCTGCCCTCAGTGCCCATCCTCCTTTGCTTCAGCCCGGGTTCTGAAGTCCCACATGCGGACGAAACACGGTAGAAAGGCTTGTCAGCGCACATTTTGCCTGCCCGATGGCTTCTGCCAAGCCTGTGAAACACAGTTCTGGTCTAGGCTCCGCCTGCTTGCGCACTTGTGTGGTTGCAGGCGTACGAAGTGTTTGGATATTGTTTGCCCTTCTCTTTCGTCCTACAATCGGCTCTCGTCTGCTCAGTGTACAGAGCTTGATTCGTTGGACAATGTGTAGAGGCGCGATGCTCGTCGTGCAGGCCATTCCCATGCGCTTGCAGTGGGCCAGGGCTACACCGTGTCCGGTCGAGCGATCGGGTGCGCCAGGCGGTGACAGTCCTCCCGGCGCTCCATCGCGTTGGCTTTCTCTGCGCGCGGCCCCCGCGTCAGCTATGCACTGTTTTGTCATGTACTTGCCGCCGACTTGTTTCGCACTTTGAGGACATAATATATATATATACACAAAAGACTCGAAGCTCGCTGCGCTTCGCTTTAAACTCTTGGTATAGTGCATGATGGGGACGACGCGTGGACCCAACAGCGCACATAGGGCCAGGGAAGCGGAGGGCAGCCGCAACGCGCGACGGCAGGTGGACGACGGGCGCGAGTGGGCGCGCGCGCGCGAGGGCGCGGCGGTGTTCACAGCGTCTGGCAGGAGGAATCAACCCAGAAGTCGTCCCACATGTATTTCCGTAGTTTTGTTACACGTTTCCGCCCTAGCGGAGAAGGGGGGAGGCGCTCAGACGCGGAGGCATTCCGCGGTGAGCGGGCCCGGGCCAGCCAGGGCATCGAGGTCGCGGCAGCAGTCGGGGCCAGGCCCCTGAGAGCTCACATTCCGCCCTAGCCGCTAAAGGGCGCCGTGCTGGGCTCCGACGGTGTCTGGAGGGATGCCGTGTGCAAGGTGCGCGTGTAGAGGGAGGTTAGTGAAGAGTGCTTCATAGAGGTTAAAAATGAAAGTGGAAGGGGGGCGGAAGGCTATCTGTGTGTATATATATATATATATATATATATAGAGATCCTCTGCGATTTGCCCGCCCGATCTGATTTGGTGGGGCTACAGCTAGCGACCGACCACCTAGCGCATGGTAGCCCTCGCTGCCTACACACAGCTGGGACGACGCATGACGCATGCACCCATGAGTAGATGGATGAGGTTTGGACCGAAGAACAAGGAACGGACTCAGGATCGGAAAAAACGCGCCATACGATGTGGGGCCTGATGTCCAGCCTGCCGGATCCCTTGGCCCAGACCACAACCAACCGCATAAGGAAGCTTGGCGGCTGCTGGCGGCTGATATATGTACACACCCCGAAGGCGCCCTGACTGAGAGATACAGCGGATACGTTGAGGGAGCCCCACCCAGCGGACGAGCAGATGCTCCAGACGTTGCAGTAACGTGGCCCTTGTGCTGACCATTTGCCGAGGAGTCTGACATGCCAGGTGCTGGCATTTTTGCACCCTTTCTCGGGCGCGAGAAGGGAACGCGATGTGCAGGAAACAATCGAGGCGGTACTTATGCAAACACTGTGCTCAGTGGTGATAACATCGTGTGACGTTGCGTGTGGCCCTCTGCCAAGACATCTGACGAGGGAGAACATCGCATTGAGGTGTAAGGAGTTACTCAGGAGTGGCAGGGCCTGGGGCTCATAGGGGAACCCCCATGTCAGACTTGGTCGGCCGTCTGACGGCCGGAGGTTTCGGAGGGGCACAAGCGAGCACCGCCGCCCTTTAGGACACACAGCACAGATTGGGTTGACCAGGCGTGGCGGAGAGGCAACACGAACAGCTTCAGATAGGAAATGCGTTGCTACCGGTTGCGCGCCGATTATTCATGTTTTGCTCAGAAGGGGGAGCGCGTGGCATCCTCGATCGTCCCGAGCAGCCACATTGGGAGCTCCGTGCGCTAACGAGCTGGCACATGCAACCATCATGTGCCATCTCGGCGGCCCCTCTGAGCCGACTGGTATTTTTCGAGCGTTGCTTTGTTGGACGGGATTTCTGTTTCTCCCGCATCTCTGCTGTTCGCGCGTCTCCTTACGATACAAGAACAAGTCCAGGAGAGTGGCAGCAAACGGCATATGCGACCACCTCCGAGGGCCCTATGAGCCCCCCAAAATGATTGGGTGTGGCGACAAACACATGGAGGGCGAACCCAAAGAAGCGGCATCCACGGGAGATGGGTCGTGCGATGGCGGAGGCTGCGCAAGGACAGATCACTACTGGATTGTGGTACGACGCTGCTGGATCACAGCGAGTTGTCCAGTAGTCTCGATGTGCTTCTCCAAGCTCTTGACCCTTATACTGCAGCACCTGTGAGCACACACGCACACACACACACACATCGCACGTGACCTTCTGAGGATAAGTGCCAATGAGGAGAGATTTTCAAGGGACTGTCGGTTTGACAGGCCCGAGCGCCCCCGTCCCGACCCTGCCCAAGAGTTGGGCCGAGGGCGGAGCGACGCGCGCTCTGAGGAGGCCTGCTGAAGGGCCCCCCCTCCTCCCCCTTCCTCCTCCTCCTCCTCCTCCTCCTCCTCCTCCTCCTCCTCCTCCTCCTCCTCCTCCTCCTCCTCCTCCGCCTCCGCCTCCGCCTCCGCCTCCTCCTCATCCGCCTCCTCCTGGATCGCGCGCGCAGCAGGAGCCCAAGCTGCTGGCGAACCTGAGCCAGTCGCTGGGG